CTGCCAAGGCTGGCCTTGAACTTTCCTTGAACTTGTGATTCTCCTGCCTCTGCTTCCCAAGTTGCTGGAATTACAGTAGACTGTGCCACCATGCCTGGTTATATCTTTTATGGTTAAGTGCCATGAAACTCTAAATTAGTCAGGTCACTACTTGTGAATTGGATTGGCACGAAATAATCACACAGACACAGAAAGTACCTTTTTCTTGGGGTTCAGTGATGGCTCTTCTGCCCCAGCTCCCACAAGGGAGGCTAGGGAGTCTAGCAAAAAAGGGAGAGCACATGCCTGAAGCCCTATTTATTGAGGGAAGACACTGGAGAAAATTCCACCCAAATGAGGCAAGGGATTGGGTTTCAGGGGGGTGTAGCTCAGTCTCATTGGGTGACACCCACTCTCAGAACTTCATTTCCCTGCTGAGTGGAGATGAGATCTACCTGTTTCCAGGGACAGTCTTACACCTCCATGGCTCAAGGCTAAGGGTCCATGCTCACTCCTATGTGGCAGCTCCTGACAGTTAAGTCTTTTTGTGTCCTATTTTCTTTTTCCTTTTTAGTGGTGGGGAGTCAAATCCTGGGCCTTGAGTACACTAGGTACCCATTCTTACCAGAGCTACACCCCCAGCTCCTATGTCCTATTGAAGGAATCTGACTATCCCAAGGTCCTGAAGATATTCTTCTATTTATTATTATTCTAGAACTTTTACAGTTTTAAGTTTTACCTTTCACATTTAGGTCTTATGTTTTTGTTGTTGTTTTCAGCACTGGGACCGAACTGAGGGCCTTGTGCCTGCTAGGTAAGCACCCTACTACTAACTTATATCCCCAGCCAGGTAGGGTCCATTTTCAATTAATTTTGTATATAGTGTGAGGTATAGATTGTGGTTCATTTTGATTTTTTTTAATTGTAGATGGACACAGTACTTTCATTTTGTTTATTGAGGTTTTTTGTTTGTTTGTTTTTAATGTGGTGCTGGGGAACGAACCCAGTGCCTCATGTACGCTAGGCAAGTACTCTACCATTGAGTCACAACTCCAGCCCTGTGGTTCATTTTTGCTGGATATCAGCCAGATATTTTAGCACTATCTATTAAAAAAGACTTTCTTTTCACTATTAAATTGCTTTGGTGCACATGCTGGTAGAAATTCAAATAACCGTATAAGTGTGATCACTTCTGTTCCATTGATCTATAAGTGTATTCTTTTTTATTTTTTTGGTTTGTGCTCAGTTGTTTTTTTTTTTTTTTWTTTTTTTWTTTTTTAGTTCTCGGCGGACACAACATCTTTGTTGGTATGTGGTGCTGAGGATCGAACCCGGGCCGAACGCATGCCAGGCGAGCGCGCTACCGCTTGAGCCACATCCCCAGCCCGAGTTTTTTTAAACTTTATTTTTTTWAATTTGAATATCTATATATATTTTCACATATATATTCCTACATATTTCTATCCATTCATGTGTATATGAATATACCCAAATGGCAACCAAATTCCTGTTCATACATTTTTATGTCTATTCTTATGACATTCTCTCTTGTAGTCTTGCATATGGTAAACTGATATGCAAGCTTTGGAATCAGATAATGTAAAGTCTCCAACTTTGTTGTTCTTTTTCAAAATCATTTTGGCTATTATAAGTCCTTTACATTTCCACATCAATTCAGCTGGTTAATTTCTACCCCCAAAAAACTTACTGGGATTTTTTTCCCCCTCTCTACTTGTCTATTTTAAAATTTATTTATTTGTTTATTTATTGGTTATACAGGACTTTAGAGTGTATTTTTTTTTAAACTTTTTTTTTTTTTGGTAAATAGACACAATACCTTTATTTTTTTTTCTATATTGGTGCTAAGGATTGAGCCCCAATGCCTCACACGTGGCAAGTACTCTACCACTGAGCAACACCACCATCCACAGTAGAGTGTATTTTAACATATCATACATAGAACATAACTTCTCATTCTGTGGTTGGACATGATGTGGAGTTACACTGGTCATGTATTCGTATATAAACAAATTATATAGGAATACATGACCAGTGTTATATCAAATTCATTCATTTTACTGTCTTTCCTATTCTCATCCCCCTCCCTTCCCTTCATTCCCCTTTGTCCAAAGAACTTCTTCTTGCCTCCACCCACCCCTTATTATGTGTTAGCATCTGAATATCAGGGAAAACATTCAGCCTTTGGTTTTTTGAGATTGGCTTATTTCATTTAGCATGATAGCCTCAGTTCCATCTATTTACCAGCAAATGCCATAATTTAATTTTTCTTATGGCTGAGTAATATATTCCATTGTGTATATATTCCACATTTTTTTTATCCATTCATCTGTTGAAGAACACCTAGATTGGTTCCATAGCTTAGATATTGTGAATTGAGCTGCTATAAACATTGATGTGGCTATTATCACTATAGTATACTGATTTTTTTTTTGGTAAATATTTTTAGTTGTAAATGGACACAATACTTTCATTTTAATGTGGTACTGAGGATCAAACCCAGTGCCTCACATGTACTAGGAAAATGCTCTACCACAATCCTAGCCTGTATGCTGATTTTAAGTTGAGATTTTTTTTAATATTTAATTTTTAGCTGTAATTGGACACAATACCTTTATTTATTTTTATGTGGTGCTGAGGATAGAACCCAGGGCCTTGCAAGTGCTAGGCGAGCACTCTACTGCTGAGCCACAACCTCAGCCCCTTTAAGTTGGGATTTTTAAAAAAACATTTTTTAGTTGTAGATGAACACACAAGATTTTTTTTTATTAATTTATTTTTTATTTGGTGCTGAGGATCAAACCAGTGCCTCACACATGCTAGCAAGTGCTCTGCCATTGAACTATAGCCCCAGCCCCTTAAGTTGGGATTTTGATTGAAATTATATTAAATGTGTAGATAAATTTGGAAAAAAACAGATATCTTTGAAATATTAAATCTTATAATCAATGAACATGGAATATCTTCTAATTTTTAAGAAATTCAATTTTTCTTAGTAATGTTTTGTAGTTTTCTGTCTAAAGGTCTTACATATCTTTTGTTAGATTTATTCTAGATATTTGATGATCTTTTTTTTTTGCTATCTTAAAAATTCTTTTTCTTTTAAAATTTTCTTTAAATGGCATATTTTAAAATTTTACAATCATACTGATACACAGAAACAATATATATTTACCTTGTGTCCAGGTATGTTTGTTTATTATTATTTTTGCAGTGCTGGGGACTGAACCTAGGGCCTTGTGTATGCCAGTCAAGTGTTCTACCGTTGAGCTACAACACCTACAGCACCTACTCTTTAATTTTATAAATTACTAAAATACTTTGCTAAATTTACTGGCAGACATTACTACCCTATATACATGTTTGATTACACTACTGGTGTAACTGCACCATGTACAGCCAGAGGAATGAGAAGTTGTGTACCATTTCTGTACAAAGTATCAAATTCATTCTACTGTCATGTATAACTAATTAGAACAAATTAAAAAGTAAATAAATAAATTTACTTATTAACTTCATAGTTTATAGGTTCTTTGGTTTCCTACATATACAATCCTGTAATCTAAAATGATATTTTCCCTTTCCATTCTTTATGCTTTCAGTTCCTTTTCTCGCCTTACTGCACTCACTGGGAAATTAGTACAAAACAGAAGTAACTCTATGGCGACAAAGGAAAAGTCTTGGTTTTATTTCCTGAGGGGGGGGATAGGGGTACCTTGGATTGAACCCAGGGTCACTTAACCACTGAGCCACACCCCCATCCCTTTTTTATACTTAGAGACAGGGCCTTGCTAAATTGCTGAGGCTGGCTTTGAACATACTCTCTCTCTCTTTTTTTTTTTTTTTTTGGTATAGGGAATTGAACCCAGGGGATGCTTAACCACTTAGCCACATCCCCAGCCATCTTTTTTATATTTTATTTAAAGACAGGGTCTCGCAGAATTGCTTAGGGCCTCACTAAATTTCTGAGGCTGGCTTTGAACTTTCGATCCCCCTGCCTCAGCCTCCTGAGCCACTGGGATTACAGGTATGCAACACTGCTTTTAAAATTCAATGAAGATATTCCTAGATATACTTTCTCAGATTAATGAAGCTCCCTGCTATGCCTAATTTGGCCAGAGTGTTGATTTTTACTTTCTACCTTTTTGAAATAATCATATGGATTTTCCTGTTACTCTGTTTATATGCTAGGAATTTATCAATTTTATTGACACTTTCAAAAATCTACATTATTGTTTTCTCTTTATATATGTTTATTTTCTAATATCAATTTCTGCTATCACTTTCTTCTCTTATCCTTCACATTGCATTGACCGATTTTCTTTTTCTTTCTTTCTTTTTTTTGGTACTGGGGGTTGGGCCCAGGGGCACTTTACCACACTGAGCTACATCCCAGCCCTTTTTAAATTTTTATTTTGAGACTTGCTGAGGCTGGCCTTGAACTTGCAATCTTCCTGCCTCACCCTTCAGAGTTGCTGGGATCACAGGCATGAACCTTTGTACTGACCTCTGTGACTGATCTTCTAATGTTAAACCATTGTATTTTGGAAGAAGGCTTGCTCATTAAATGCTATCCTTTTATATTATATTATCAACTTGACAATATTTGGTTTATAATTTGCATCTCTTCATGAGAGATTGTATTTTTTTTCCTTTCTTATGTTCTTGACAATTTTTTTGGGTGAAACATACATAAATTTAAAATTTACCATTTCAACAATTCTTAAGTGTATAATTCAGTGGCACAATGTACATTCACACTGTTGTGTAGTTCTTGCCACAATTCATTGCTCTCTTTTATTTTTTTTTCAGTACTGAGGATCAAATCCAGGGCCTCGCACATGCCAGGCAAGGGCTCTACCACCGAGCCACATCCCGGTCTTTGCTTGTATCTCTTCTTGAAAGATTTTTGTATCAAGGTTATGCTGTCCTCCTAAAGTAGAATGAGAACTGTGCCTTCTATTTCTGTTTTTTGGAAGGATTTGTGGAAGAATGGTACTATTGTGCTCACTTCAGCAGCACACATGCTAAAATTGGAACAATACAGAGAAGATTAGCAAGGCCTCTGTGCCACATTATTTTATTTATTTATTTATTTATTTTTTGAGAGAGAGAGAGAGAGAGAATTTTTTTAATATTTATTTTCTAGTTATCGGTGGATACAACATCTTTGTCTGTACATGGTGCTGAGGATCGAACCTGGGCCGCACGCATGCCAGGTGAGCGTGCTACCGCTTGAGCCACATCCCCAGCCCCCTCTGTGCCACATTAATTCATGAAGTATTTCATGTTTTTCAAAATAACTAGAAGAGTCTTGAAGGTTTCCAACCCACAGAGATGACAAATGTTTGAGAAGATGAAAATACTAATTACCTTGATTTGATTATTGTACATTATATACACCATATTAAATTATACTATACCCCATAAATATATACATATATGTGTCCATTTAAAAAATTAAAAAAAGGCATTTTTCCTTTAAGTCTTTCAAGAATTCACCTATGAATTTATCTGTATATAGATATTTTTAGAAAAGTTCAAATTCCATAATCAATTCATAAAAAAATGATAAAACCACAGACTTTTCTATTTCTTGCTTATCAGGTTTGATAAGTTTCATTTTTTCAAGGAGTTTGTCTAATTCATCTAAATTATCCAAGTTCTTTGGCACATATACACTTATTACCTTTTTAAAAATATTTTTAGTTGTAGATGGACACAATATCTTTATTTTTATGTGGTGCTGAGGATTCAACCCAGTGCCTCACATATGCAATGCAGGTGTTCTACCGCTGAGTTACAGCCCCAGCCCTTATTACCTTTTTTTTAATGTCTGGAGCATCTTCAGCAACGTACTCAATATCATTCCTAATATAGATAATTAGTATTCTCCCCCTACATCCTGCTTTTTCTCTCTTCCATGTGTACTTTTAGTCTTGCTAGAAATTTATCAATTTCATTGACATTTTCAAAAATTTACCTTATTATCTTCTCTTTATATATATATATTTATTTTTAGAGAACTTTTTAATATTTATTTTTTAGTTCTCGGCAGACACAACATCTTTGTTTGTATGTGGTGCTGAGGGTCGAACCCGGGCCGCACGCATGCCAGGCGAGCGCGCTACCCTTGAGCCACATCCCCAGCCCTACATATTTATTTTCTACATATCAATTTCTCTATCACTTTCTTCTCTTATCCTTCTAATTTCCTGGGGTTTAACTTTCTCTTCTTTTAGCTTCTTAAGATTGAAGCTTAGATCAATGACTTCTCAGCCTTTCTTCTTTTCCAAAATGTGCATGTGCCTGTGGATGTATCATCTTCCCTCTGGACACTGCTTTAGCAACATTCTGTAAGTTTTGATGTGTCATGTTTTCATAGTCATTTATTTAAAAGTATTTTCTAATCTCCATTATAATTTCTCCTTCTACCTATGAGTTATTTAGAAGCAATGTCTTCAAATAGTTTAGAATTTAGTTTTTTTGTTTGTTTGTTTTAATTCCTAATTAATCCTGGGTCAGAGAATGTATTCTATATTATTTCAGTCTTTTAACATTTGTTGATAACTATCTTTGTAGCCTAACATATAATATGTGCACAAAAATGTTTTCTGCAGTTGTTAGGTACAGATTCCTATATAGGTCAATTAGATCAAATTGATTAATTATGCTGTTTAAATCTTCAAAATCCTTACTGATTTTTTTGTCTGTTTGTTCCAGCAGTTATTGAGATAGCTGTGTTAAAATCTCTAACTAAAACTGCCTATTTCTCTTTTCAGTTCTGTCACTTTTACTTTGTATATTTGGAAGCTATGTTATAAATGTGTACATATTTGCAAATATAAATTTATGCATATAAATTTAGGAATGTTTTTCTGTTGAATTGACTCATCATTAAAAATGTCCATTTTATTTCTAGTAATATTTCATAATTACAGTCTATTCTCTTGGAAATTAATAGCAACATCAGCTTTTTTTGGTTAGTGTGTGCATGGTGTACATTTTCCTTTCCTTTTATCCTTTATTTCAATCTTTTTTGTGTCCTTACATGTATAGTATGTAGTTGTGTTTTCAAAATCCAATGTGAAAATGCTTTTTTTTTTTTTTTTAAGTATTGGGGATTGACCCCAGGGCCTTCCACATGGTAGGCAAGTGTTCTAACACTTGGCTATATCCCCAGCCCTTTTTAAATTTTTATTTTGAGACAGAGCCTTGTTAAATTGTCTAGACTGGCCTTGAACTTGCTATCCTCTTGAGCAGCCAGGATTACAGGTGTGTATTACCATGCCTAATACTTGCTTTTCTTCTTTTTTTTTTTATTTTTTAAATTGCCAATGGACCTTTACTTTTATTTATTTATATGTGGTACTAGAGTCGAACCCAGTGCCTCACACATGCTAGGCAAGTGCTCTACCACTGAGCCACAACCCCAGCCCTTGCTTTTCTTCTAATGTCTCTGCATTTAAAGAAGGAGCTTTAGGAGGCAATGTTAATCTAGAGGATAAGTGTTAAGAGTGGAATTTCAGAGTGTGTGGCTCAGTACATCCTCAGAAAACACAACATCCCATATGATAGCACTAACAACAGGAACAACAATAATATTAATATAACGGCTAATACTTGTATTTGTCTTTACAGTACGCTAGGTACTTCATACACACATTAAGCTCTGAGATATATTTTGTAATCTATTTTAACCATGAATATGAACATAGATAAACACTAAAACAGTCACTTGTTGTTTTGTTTTGTGTCTATCAGTCCCTCCAAATTCCACTAGAATCCCCTCCTCACTTCTGTAACACTCCCAAGACAGGCTCTCCTAACTCCCCTTACCAGCATCCCGCTCCAAACACAAGCAGTCTGGTTCACTGATACAGTAGGCCTCCTAGTCACCTGCCCTGCTTCCTGATATCTTAGTATCCCTGCTTTCAACTACACTGCTGGGTAGCTGCTTGGGGGAGGTGGGACCTTCAGGGTGTACCCTAGCTGCTCCATTCTCAGCCTCAGCCACAGCCCACGAAGTGTGCACATCTGCATGCCTTAACCATCTTTGGCACAATGTAGATGCTCAATGACTATTTGTAGAATGAGACTGAAAGGAAAAATGAATGGTCTTATGATTATATGAACATAGATACACAGGTGAAGCCATGCGTGCTTTCAGGATTCCCCCACTGCGGGGGGGGGGGAGAAGAGGACACCAGCCCCTTCACAATCCCTCACATCCCTTCTTCCTCTTCTTCCCCATCTAGCCAGTGCGAGTCAGTCCTAGGGAGGAGTGACAGTGATGAATCCCTTTCCATTTGCGCAGGCAAAGGTAAAACCCTGTGTCTCTTGGCATCCTCACCAGTCGCCATACAGCTATGCAAGGGCCACAGAGGCGCCCCATCCCCTGGTCCACTGTGCGCTCGCTCTCTCACTCTCCTTGGATATCAATCGGGTACCAAGGAGTGAGGTGGTGGTTGGAAGAGGGTTTACATCTTTTCTTTACCTTACTCTCCTTCCCAGCCTCCAGATGCTGCTCCTTCGCGCTACTCAGCTGCAGCACACACATTCCGTGGATGGACGCTGCCCGCGCGCTCCCGCAGCTTCGTCACTGTAACTCGCCCGGATGAAGGGACCGAGTGGGGATCCCATCAATTGCTGGGGACACCGCCCCCCCCGGCCTGGGAGTTACCTGGGGTCCGGGTGATTCCCACCCTGTCCCGGGCAGCTGCGCCTTCCGATTGGGTAGCAGGTCGAGCTTGCGAGACTCCATTGGCAATAACGCCCAAGTCTTTTTTTTTTTTTTTTGTGTGTGTGTGTGTGTGTGTGTGTGTGAGCGTGAGCGAGAGAGAGAGATCCCAAGCCGGGCTTTTAAGGGGCAGCGCGGAACCGAAAGAGGGCGGGTGATACACGAGCACTTCAGGGCCTCGGTCACCTCGGTCACACTTCACGGCCTGGGACGTCACGAGTCACGGTCACCGCCCCATCCCCCGCCCCCGGGGCTGGTGGACTCCGGCTCGTCGCGGTTCCCGGCCCAGCTTCCAACGGCCACGCGCACGTTTTGCGCGTGCGCACTAACTTGGTCTCGCGCCTTCCAGGCGGTGGGTGAGGCGGCGGGTGGGGCGGCGGGCGGGGCGGCCTGGGGTGGGGCGGGGCGGGGCAGGCGGGGCGGGACGGGGCGGGGCAGGCGGGGCGGGAGGGGCGGGAGGAGGGAGGGTTAGGGAATGATTCCCCGGAGTGGAGCCAGTGGGCCACCGGCCAGGGCAGGTGGCGATGTCTGAGCAGAAAGGGATTCCGTTAATAATTTCGCTCAGGGGCGCGAGGGAGCGGCTGAACAATCAGTTGAGGCGGCTCAGCAAGGCCCTCACCCCAGGAGGCGCCGTTCAGGCCTCCATCCGCTGGCATTCGCCGGAGCGGGGCTGCAAGAGGGCGCAGGTGCAGCGAGAGAAAGTGAAAATGTGGGTACCCTGGAACGGGCTAATCGTGATTGGAAAGAGGGTGGAGCTTCTGGGCAGAAAGATGCAAAAGCCTAGAACGCGGGACCCGAGGGTTGGTCCTGAGAACTTGCGACCAGAAAGTGTGGGAAAGACCGTCTTGAAAGAGAAGGCAGGCCTGAGTCAGGAAGGGACCGGCAGTAGTACAGCAGATGCGTTGCAGGATTCTGCAAGAGAGATTTGGGGAAAACAAGACGTCAAACGCAAAATTGGAGCTGAATCTAACGCTGCAGGGATGACCGCAGAGTCTAGGAAGGGGTCTCTGTCTGAAGAGATGCCCACGTCTACTGGGAATAATGTGGGGACCAGTGGAGAGGACTTGCGATCCAGAGAATATCAATTGCAGCAGAACGAGGGGCAGCAGTTGAGTGGAGAGAAGCGGGAGTCCAGGGGAGAAAAACGGGGGTCCACTGTAGAGAAGCAGGAGTCCACTGCAGAGAAGCGAGGGTCCACTGCAGAGAAGCGGGGGTCCATTGCAGAAAAGCGGGGGTCCATTGCAGAAAAGCGGGGGTCCACTGCAGAGAAACGGGGGTCCATTGCAGAGAAGCCAGTGTACAGCGGAGAGAAGCGGGGGTCCAGTGGAGAGAACCCAGTGTACAGGAGAGAGAAGCGGGGGTCCA